TTCAATATCCGAATATAGATATTTTACATTAGGTATCGATGAGTGATATTCTTGATATTCTTCTTGGTAATATGCTTCTATTTCTGCGAATATTAATTCTATATTTGTTGAAATATAGGTATCAATGGTAATTGTATAGTTTCTTCATAAGTGTACCATTGCCATGGTTCTGCTTTATCTGGTTCCGTTTGTTCTGGTATCATATATTCGTCTACAGGATATATGAATACTGTTCTTTTGATTCTGTATTTTGCTTCTAAGGTAGGACAATTTCTTTGTGAAGTCCATTCCATAGTACTTAATGCTGTTTCTGACCAGATATTTATTAATTTGGTTTCATTTAGTACAATGTTGGCTTCTTCAAAAGTTTCTCAGAGTATGGTTGCTTTTGCAGCTTCACATGTCTTTCCATTTCCGTCTAGGTTTCCTTTTCCTCCCATTCCTTGGTTATGAAGGTAATATAGTTTTTGAGGGTTGTTTAGTAAGGATAAACATATTTTTGTTTTCCCATCTTCTTTCTTGAATAAAGCTAATTGTACTATTCTTCGTAGTGGTAGATTTATATTTTGTATTAGGGAGTCCATTATTAACTGAAGATTTCTGCATTTTCTACAGTTATCAAAATATTCGGTTCTATTATCATCATATATTTCTTTATAATCGTGGAAGGTTGTATATTCTTTACAATTTTTGCATTTCCACATCCATTCTGATATACTCGGAATTGATGTTGATTCCATTTTGGATTTCTTTTGGATTTCTTGGTTTATCTCTTCAATGATTTTGCGTGCTTGTAATTCTATTCGATATTGTGTTAAATTATATCCTTTATTTTCTGCTCGTTGTCTACAACTTTTACAAGTTTTGAATGCCTTCCCTATAGAAGTGTATCCAAATTCTTCTTGTTTTTGTGTCCTTTTGCACCTTGAGCAGCGTTGTTTTTTTGTTAAGTTTTGAATTCTTTTCAGTCTTTCTTCAGGGTTTCTTTTAGAATATGTTTTTCGTTCTTTTCTTTTTATTCTACAATTATTGCAGGTTTTATATACTTTTCCTGATGATTCTTTAAATGATTCTGGATATTCTAATATGGTTTTACAATTTGTACAATACTGGCTTGTTGGTATCTCTTGGTTCATTCGTAGTGTACTTTATTATTTCCTTGAACGTATGAGAATTCGTGCCAGATTTTAATTTCTGCTTTATCGTTTGAATAATCAAAGTTGTCAAAGAATATTAGAATGTAATAGTCTTTTTCTATTACAGTTGCTGTAGAGTTTTCTGATTCTTTAGATTTTGTAATATTTGTTAATTTTTTGTTTCCAATAAATGTTCCTTGATGCACAAGAATTTGTTGTGGTTCCTTTGTTGTAAGGTTTACTACAAAATGTTCGATGTCAGTAATTTCTTCTCTTAATAAGGAATAAGGATGAATTTCCTTATCGTATGATATGAATATTTTGTCTCTTGTGATTTCTGATGCTTTTTCAAAGTATCCAAATGGTGTAGCAATAATGCGTATTACTACTTTTCCGTGTTGAAATATTGATTCTTTAAATAATTGTATTTTTACAGTTATCTGTGATTTAATTATAGATATTACTGTAGTTTCTGGTTTAATGTGTATAGATTTAAATAGTTTTTCTATGTGCCACTCTAAATGCTTTAGTGGTGAATGTTGTTTAAAGCTTTTTACGTAATAATATATATTTACTGGTTCTCTAGAATATGCTCTGGTAGTTTCTTCGTCAATTTCTGTTAGTAATGTTGTGGTGTCAGTATTTAGCTGTAGGTCTGAAGTTGGTTTTGGTATTAATATTTGCTCTGCTTTTTCTTCCTTCAAAAGGTTCATTATTTGATATTCTACTTGTTGTATCAGCTTCTTTAGTTCACTATGATATTGTTCTAAATATGTTTGTTGAACTATTTCTGTTTCTTCTTTTTGATAATTTTCCGTTTGATTAAGGTATCGATAAAGATTTATATGGTAGTGTAATAATTCTTCTATTTCAGATTCTTGTTGCATTAATAGTATCTGAATTGTCCTGTAAGTAACTGTTCAACAGTTGGTTCAGGGATTTCGTATCCACAATAGTTGAATAAGCTTTCTGGTATAGCTTCTCTAACTAATGCTTTTACCGAATCCAAGTATTTTGTTTGGTAATATTTTCTTTCGTTTGTAGTATCTTCTATTTCGTTTTTTTCGAGTTTTAGATAAAAGTGATGGATAAGGTTATTTAGAGTAATCCAATCCTTGTACTTCTTATTCTTGTAGGCGTTTTCAATTGTTAGTGATTGTTTTTCTGTGATTTTAAATTCTTTTTGTATCTTTGGTAATTCGTATTTTTCTGAAATAATGTTTAAATGTTTAAATCCTAATTTCAGTTCGTTAAGTGTTAGAACATGTTTGTAATGAGGTTCTTCAAAATATCGAAGTCTTTTTTTTTAAAGGTATCCACTTCTTCAAATAGATATATTTTTCTGTCAAGTATTTTATTATATCATTGTAATTATTTTGGTTACTCAATTCCATTAATTCTTAAGGTTCGTAAATTTCTTGGTAATGTCTATTAAGGGTTTCTGTTGTTATTGGGTTTTGGAATTCGAAATTATATTTCCGTTGTTGGTTCACTCTTTTCTGGGTCTATTAATATTAATTCCTCTATTGCTTCTATTCGTATTTTATGTTTTTCTGCGTTTCTTTCACTGATCTGTTCAAATCTTGTAATTCTTTCTTGCCACACTTCAGGAATTGTGTATTTATACTCTTGTAGATATTGTGGTTGTTTCAATTCCTTGGTTAATGCTTCTTTTTCTTCTACTAGGTCTTCAAGAATCAGTTGGTAAAGGTTTAAGACAGATCCTTTTGTCCAAGGTACAAATACTTCTTGGTGATATTCTCGTATTAGTTGAATAGCTTTTTCTTTTGGTGGTGTTTTGCTATCTCTCCACGTATATCATTTAGCTTTTTGTCTTAATGCTTGTACTTTTGTGAAGTTGACGTTAGAATTATTGCCGTTCCTTTTTGAATATATCGTTTTAAAGAATCGGAACAAGAGTACAAGTTTGTATCTTTCTTTTTTATCGGTTCTAGTGTTATCGTTGGGATTATTTTCCATGAAAAGTATAAGGTTCTTAATTTATATTCTTCTTTCAATTGTAGCTTTTCTTGTAAGGTTATCTTCAAATGCTTTTTCTTCTTTGCTTCAGAGGTGTTCTTTTATTTTCTGATATTTCTTCGAGATATTTAAGTTCTTCTTCCTCGTCTAAGACTATTAAGGCTTCTTCTTCGTATAGTACGTCTTCTGCTATAAATATAATATTATACAATACTGATTTTAAAGGTATTGGAATATCGTGACTTAAATTGATATCTCGTATTTGTTTGAATTGTTTTGCTGTTACTGTTAAAGTAGTTTCGTATTTTTGTATTTCTGTAGTAGTTCTGGGTTGATAGAAATTAAATCCTGTAAGTAATATTGCTAATTGCAAGGTTTTCAATATGGTTCCCAATCTTAAGTCGTTTGTAGGGTTATACCTTGCTATCAAATTTGCAAGTGTTACTACAATGTCTGAGCGAATTTCTTCTACTGGTCTTTGGAATATTATTCTTGGTGTGGATTTATTTCTTTAAGATAGGTATTCCTTGGTTCCGGATAATGGTTCCAGAAGTATTTAAATGGCCAAAATTCAGGATTTTCTGATACTGATCTAGTTATTTGTTCAGGATATGTATCCCAGATTCTTGAGTTTTCACTTGATATATCTGATTCGTCAGCGTAATATTCTTCTGATAGAGTTTCAGTTATAGGTTTCTTATGATAATAAATAATTATTTTGTATTCAATATAATAAATTTCTTCTGAATATGATAATTTTTGGTTATTAGCCCCGTTTTTCGAGGTCATAACTAAGTCTCTTAGTTTTCTTGTTGTGGCACTATTCCTTCTAAAATTTCGTTTAGTGCTTCAATTTCTAGTAGTAGGTTGTTAATTCCTAGTTCAAATGGTAACGTATGATCTATTGTAAGATCTAAAGTTTGAAATAAGGTGTGTATTTTTGTTTTCAAAGATGTTCTTTGAATTGCTCGTAGATTTAAAGATGTTGATTCGAATAGGTATAAGAATTCAATATTTCTTCGAATATTCTTGAGTGCTTCAATTGTTGTATTCCTTCTTGAAGTAATTATGTTTTCAATTGCAGGGTGTTCTTCTGGTTGATTATTAATTACTCTTGGTGGGTATGTTATTCGTAAGTTTTCTACTTCAGTTGTTGTAACTTTTCCAGCAGTTACGGCTTCTTGAATTTTAATTAATTGTTGCCTGAGTTTTTCAATAAATTGAGTAAGGGTTGTATCCATTAATTTTTCTTTGTTAATGTTGTTATTTCTTTTAGTCGTATAACAGTATTTGCGACTATTGATACGGTTACTACTATTGCTATTGATATAATTGTAAGTTGGATTGTTTAATTAAGTTGCTGAAATGGTTGTTCAGATGTTGCTAATGTAATATAAATATTGCTCATCCACGTTATTGTTATATTAAATACTGATATTGTTTGATCAGTGGTTACAATTTTAATGATTTCTTTCTTATACGTGTCCACGATTACTTGTTTCTTTATTTTTCTTATTTGGTCCTCTTTTAGATTGCGGTAGGTATACACAATCAATGTGTTTCCTTGAACAACGTAAACAGGTGGTTTCTTGATATTTTAAACAGCGTACTTTCTTTAATTGACAATTTGTACAGGCTATAGTTGCTTTTTTAATATTTTTCATTCGTATATTATAGGTTATGAGGTTGGAATTGTTTGTTTTTGTTTCTTGGAAATTTTGTCCGTGTTTATATAGCTTTCTTTCCTATATATTTTATATTGTAGTATTCTAAGCTGTTTAATCTGATCCTTCAGAATTTCTTCGTGAGAATTCTTGAAATCTATGAAGATCTTCATCATGGGGTGGTAGAGTATCTAACTCTGTTTCGGTTAGTGCGTATTGATTCAGTGTTTGGGCCTTTTTTAGGGCTTCTACGAATTTAGGGTGGTCAAATTGAAGGTTATGAAATGCTTGATGTCGTGAAGTGGTTGCTTGTCTTTTCCGTAGGTCATGGTGATTGTAGTTTAATATTTGTTCTACTAATTGGTTTTCTTCAAGTGCTTCTACTTTTCTTTTCAAGTTTCGGACTTGTTGTTTCAATTCTCTATTTTCTTCTTTTAATGTGGCTATATCTAATAGGTTTCTTCCACTTAGGGGAAAGAATAGTCTTCGCATAAGTGATTTCAATTGATGTAATCGTTCTTCAATACTTTCATTCTGGTTTTGTGATCCTTGATCATTTAAAGTGTTGTTATCCATCATTTCTTCATCTTCATCGAATAATGATTCTTTTTCTTTCGATATATCACTTGTTTCTGATTCATTATCGTATGAGGGGTTTATTATATCAATCAAGTCTTTCATTTCTTTTTCGTTTCTTTGCTGTAATTGTATTTCTATATCTCAATTTGAAGGTTCATAATGAGGATAAAATTCTGATTTTTCAGGGTCTGAATGATCTTGGTTCACCTAAAGAGTTTTAGTTATAACAATAGGGTTCTTTTGTGTTCCGATTAATGGTATTTTATCTTCCGTAGAATCTTTTCTTTTTAGTAGTTTCCTTGAGATTTCTTTACATTCTTCACATTGTTCCATAATAGATACATTTGGTAATTGTTCTATTTCTTCTTCAATTATTTCGTATATTGTCCACCAACCATTTTGGTTTTTTCTTCGTATTTCATTTTCTCTAGTAATGTGTGCTTTTCCAAGTTTTTCATTTTGCTTGGTCACTTTACAAATTTGGCCTTTTTGTACTGTACAATTATGACACCAAATATAACGTTTCTCTACTACGTCTGTTTCTTGGTTATATTCCCATTTCCATAACTTATAGTCTACGTCATTTTGCCATTTTTCTAATTTTACTTTGGCTTCTTCTTTTTGTATGTCTGTTAATCTATCTTGCATTTCTTTAAAGCATTCTGGACATGTTCCTCCTAGTAAGTCTTTAGGTGAATAAGTATAATAGCATTCCGAACATAATTGGGTTAATCCTCGTTTTTCTGTTATCATCATAGCTTTAGTTCTAGTTGCATCTATAGGATAGTCTTTCTTTTCTTGTCCTTCTTGAAATGAAGCTTCAAGAACTTGATTTAAAGATGTTTCCATTACTTCGTATGTACTCTCATCTTCTGAGTAAAGAGTTTCTTCTCTATAGTATTCTTCTATAGCATCGTAGTTTTGGTAATTGTACTTATCAGTGATGGAATTAATTTTCATTTGTTTTATTATTTCTTGGTTTTCGGGAGTGATCCATTCTTCTTGAGGGTGGTTCTTGAGAATTTCGTAGAGTCTTAGTATTTTCGATTCATTCATTGCTTTATTATTATATACAGTTCTAGTATATTCTTGAATTCTTTTTATTACTACTGTTTTTGTAGAGTATCTATGACAATAAAACATTTCAAATGCTACTTTTTCTTCTTTGTCACAAAAGTAATTGTTAGTATAATCGTTTGTCATGTGTCTTTTCCAATTTTCTTTTGAGCAAATAGTACATTTCTTGAAGTTAGTTTTTTCTAATTTAGTTTCTTTATATTGTACCGCTCGTATGTCATCTATTGACAGGTGTTCCATATATTCCTGGTAACATCTCTTGCAAATGATATGATCTTTAAGTTGTTGCGTATGGTAATCCAGTGGATTAATGTATATTCCTTTTAGTAATAAAAATATATCCTTGGTAATAATATTGTAACAATCCTCATTGCAACAGTGATAAATATTTTTTCCAATTTTTCTAACTTTTTCCTTGCTACATCCGCATTGTAAAGTTTCATTTTCTGTAAGAAGTTTGGTCATTAATTTATCTAGATCGATAAATTTTCCTTGTTCATTATATACTATTTCTTCTATTTCTTCTAAAGTTTCATTTGGAGTTTCTGATCGTATTTCTGATTGGATATCCTTTGAGCTTCCTTCTTTTGGATCATAGGTTTCTTTAATTCCAGTTTGTTTCTTTTGGAATTCTTTATTTTCTTCATTTATAGTTCTCAAATTTCTATTAACTAGAATCGTTTCATTAGTACAGTCTCGTGCTTGGTGTCCTAGTTGTTTACATTTCCAACATTCGTTTTGAGGACACTTTCTATTGACGTGATCTTTTTGGTTACAAATTCCACAAATGAAACGAGATCTATTCTTTTCATATTCTCTTTCATCATAAAAGTTTCCTTTAAGAATTGATCTTGGTTTTGGTATCCTTAATTGACTTAATGGAAATCTCTTTTGGCAATTATGATTCCCGTTGGTTAGAGCTCCGCATTTTTGACATTTATTTTGTTTTTCAAAATGAACTTTCTTTCTTGGTTCTTGGAATTGAGGGCATTCATGGTCCTTTTCGACTAAAATTTCGCATTCAAGGCAGAATAATTGAGGGTTTTGTTCTTGATCTTTGGTTCCTTTAACGACCGATGCAAAAGTTTTCTTTCCTTTTTCTTTATTGTTTCTTTGAGGTTGTTGTTCAATGTTAGGAATTTTCTTAACAACAAATTTTTGATTTTTTTTGTTTCTGCCATTCATTGATGTTTTGGTTTTTCTTTAATTTCTATTCTTTGAATTCAATCAATTCGATTTGGTCAGGATGTCTTTCTTTCAAATGTTCCAGCCATTTGTTTTGGGGTCTAGTTAGTTGGCAAATTTCACAAGTCTTAGATTCCATTTCAGTATTTTTAGAGTTTCTTGTTGAAGTTTGTTTTCAGGGTTCTTAAGATTTATCCGTTATGTTTTGGATGTCCTTTGATCATTTGAATGAAGTTTCTTTTATAGAAGTTTCTTATCTTGGATTATCATTGATCAACAATAAATTTTTATTCTGTATCATCACTGTTACTAGTATGACTTAGTGATTGTAGATCATTTATATAATCTGTATCATGTAAACATTCTAGGAGCGTGTCCCAGATGTTTTTGTCTTTATTCTGTCTTCTCCAAATTAACTCATTTAGACATGGTTGTAGGTTTTTCTTATCTCTATTTCTTGGTAATATGGCATCTTTGAACACGCGCCAGTGTGCTTCTATGCTATTTGTATGCATGATTTTAATCAATCCTGTTTCAGAATCGTAATCCGTTTCAGTCATTCCTTTACTATGGTTAATAGTATGATGTTCCATTCCAAGTTTTCTATAAATGTTCTGATATCCTTTCCACATATTTGAATATATGATCGATTCTGGATATATGTATTTCCAAATATAGTATATCAAGGTATTTTGTGTTCTGTCTTTTATGATTGTTGCAAATAATTTCTTTTCTGGAGTTCTTTCTACTCCTTTGAATACCCATACGGCTGTTCCATTCTTCTTTTTGTAAAATCGTGACTCATCTATTTCTATAATGATTTTGGGTCCTCCGATCTTGTCATCTGTTTCCAAAATCCGACAATTGATAGATTGTCTTATTATCTGAATCCATCATGTGATTGTTGTCTTTGCTAATCCTATGAATAAACATATTGTTCCATATTTTGCTTTGATAAGCTATAAATAGGCGATTTTCAGTACTTCATTGCTTCCAAGTTTCGAATTCATGAAAATTGTTCCATTCATTAAGGATATTTTCTTTTGACAATTCTGTTTAGTACATCAGAATACTTTATTTGAGTATAACTTCATCGGTTTTAAGCACTGTAAATAGTTAATTTCTTTAAAGAGTATCGATTTTTCTTGTAAGAATTTTATATATAGTTTTTCATTCTGAAAGTATTGTTCCAATTCTTGATATGTTGGTACTTTCATCCTTAATTTATCTGTTTTTGTTTCTTTTTTAAGATTTGTTTCGGTATAAGTCTTTTCAGGAGGTCCTTTTTATATATTTTTCTTATCTTTGTAGATCTCTTCTTTATCTTTTACTCCTATTTTCAATATAACTGTTTGTATTCCATCTTTATCAATTCCTATATATCTTGATAAGTAATCAGCTACACTATTATCCTTCCTTTTAATTTGTTCAACAGTCCAATTAAAATCTTGTAATTTGATTAACCATTTTTGCATAGTATTATTTCTAACCATTTTCCCTGAGGCATCTGATATTCCTGTGTTATCAGTTCATACTATTATTGGTTTGTTTTCAATATAATGTTGCCAATTTGTTAAATAGTAATATATTGCAAATAATTCTTTCTGGGTTAATCCCCATAATCTTTGCATTGGTAATAAGGATTTTGATCCAAATTCTATAATTTCTTCTTCAGATTTCGTAGGTTCAGTTTCTTTACCTTTTTCTCTAGCATCTTTAGTTTTATAATATGCTAG